CTTTGAGAACAGGAACACTGTCTCATAAAGAAGTATTGTATCCTCCAAACCAAGCACTAAGTACTAAGCACACAGCTAGTGTTCAATATATATATTTGCTAATTGATTTGAAGGGAGTGAAGTGTGTTGTGTTGTGTTGTGTTGTGAGAAAAAAAATATTCTTAAGTCATGTCTACACTGGAAAGAAAGTTGAAAAGATAGCAAAATATTTTCAGGATCAGCAGTTTAATGTCAGGGACATTTTTTTATGTACCATTTAAAGATATTCTGTGCAGGCCATAACTGCCAAAATGTTTTATAAATGTTTTTACCAGGAGTGTGAAAAAAATGTTTTAAAAATATTCAAGGAGTAGATGTCTTAACAGCCCAAAATAAAATGTTTGCTGAGGCTACAAAGCTGGCAGAACTCTGCTTCATTTCAAAAAGTTTCCAGGCAATGGAAATGTTTTCCTGGAAAATACTACCTTTTATTTAGAGAACGAACACTTAGTCATTAAGTAATTTAAGGTTTCCTCACAAGCTCTTTGGAGGAAATCTATTATATGAATGAATGAAATTATCGGCACCTATAATGTCGAAAAAAATACATTTGTGTAAATATATGAACTCTACCTAAGTATTTTTCCAAGTAAGGGGGAAAAGTCTTTTATACTTTCTGGTCTATTTACTGTTCTCTCAATTTTTTCTATGAGATAAAATTACGAAGAAAAACAAAATCCTTAAGTGTTTCTCTGTCTGTAATATACACAAATCCAAAAAATTAGAGGGCTTATTTTAGTCCACGTGTCAAGTAATTTTCAAACAGACAAAACAGTCATTTCATTCAGTGAAAATAAATGGTAACTGAAAGCTATTTTTAGCAAAATCTTTTGAGTTTGTGTCAAATCACCTTTCAATGAGAGAGACCCAGTTTGGACATTTTGCTCCATCATCTGCAGTAAATCATACAATGAAACCTAAGAAAACAACTTTTTCCAAGAGTTCTGAAGCCAACTAAGTCATATTCTTTTAAACATCAAAAGACACAACTGAATTCTACTTGGAGCACGTGGTTTGTACATTTAGTCTTTTTAAAATGTACACAAAATGATATTTGCTTTCTTTTACCTGTTAAGTATTTCAGTGAGTTTCACAAAGCCAGTATAAGCCAGTTCAAATGCTCCTCTGTGCCTGGACTGTAGAAGGTGTTGTTTAAAGTAAGCTCCTATTTCTTTTACCTTCAAAACAAAATCGAAAATAAATATTCAATTTATGCTGACATTGACAGATGTATTTATGTTAGTAACATCATTTAGAACTCAGGTCTAGATGCCCATCCATTTAGCACCTACTATGTGACAGGCAGTATTTTAAGCATTTTTATAATTCACAATTAATTCCAATAATTGCATGAAATAAGTGTTATTATTA